GGGGGGGGAGTAGTTGATTTATCGTCTAGTGTCGTTTCTCAGTATCAAAAACTATTCTGTTTCTTAAGTTACGTTTTTAAAAAATGAAAAATAACAATATAAAACAATGAATAATTAAATACAAATTCCCAAGTTCTTCAACCCACATCCACCTTAATGTGTCGTGTGCCTTTTTTCAAGAATTACTCTATTTCCTTAGTTAAACTTTTTCCTCAGGAATTGAAAAAAAAAATTATAACACCCCAAGTACTACCACCCAAGTCAACCTCATTTTCTCTTTCTCCCTGACAGCTCGGCATAAAAGCTTTCGAGAAGGGCGACAACCCCTTGCTGAGTTTCTCGGAAATGACCCACACTCTGATGAGCTCCACTCACTGAGGGCGGCACACACACGGAAGTGACGTAGACGACACGGCCAGGGCGCTAATAGGACGGCTGGCCTGGCCAAGGGAGGCGACTGACAACTCGGCGTGCTGTTGTCCGCTTTCATTACGGGGAATCTCACCGATTGAGTTATATACTAGATCTAGACCGGCCACTGTCGTGGCCGACCATAGACTTGAATTATATATATATACTAGACCACACACTGTCATGGTCGCTCATGAACTTAAATTTACGCAAATCCTTAACCGAGATCGAGCGCTGTCATGGTAACCTTAGACTTGAAATATAATATCCTATACTAGACACTGCTATGGCATCCCACAGATGTGTATTATAAAATCATAGACCGGACATTGTCATGGCCGACCATAGATTTTAATTAGAATATCCTAGACAGGGCACTGGTATGGCCGCTCTTAAACTTTAAATATGATATCCTAGTCATGGTGCCGTCACGGCTTCCACTCTTTGCTTCTACAATAAAATTTTCGCTTCTCTATTGCACATCATGGACGCGCAAATGTTGAGCAAAACACGCGTCTCGCTGTAGTCGAGTGTTCGCGCAACTTCCCCCTCCTTGCCCTTCATTTGGTTCCAATTAGAATCAAATGGTGAGCCCCATAGTGGACAGGAATTACCTCATAGTGCCCAGCCTTGGACATTGTAATACAGGTGTTTGTCAGAATCTCAGAGATCAGAGCCCTGGGAAAGAACCATCGGTCAAGGTAATTACAAAATACGCGTACAGCGGCGAGGTGGATGGTTGGAGGACGCCACTGCTGGGTCCTTCTTCTTTTCTTTCCTTCTGTTGTTTCTGGCTATCTGTCTTGACTTCCTTCTTCCCAACACTAAGACTGTTCTTATGTCAACGTGCATCTATTGTCTCAAAATGAGAAAACAGCAGCAAGATCTCAGTTCCTCCACGCCTCGGCCATAGTTCTACAGAAATTTTAGTGAAACCATTTTTTAAATCAAGTTATCCACAATTTATTCATGTTTTTGTGGGGGTTTTGTTGTTGGTTTGTTTGTTTTTATTGTTGTTTTGTATTGTTCTGAATTTGTTTCTGAAGCCGAGTGATCTACTGAACACAAATTAAAAGTCATGTTGAGCAGGAAATAGGGATGGGGGTGGGGAAGGGGATTTTAACAGGGGATGGGGGTGGGTGGGGAGGAGAAGGGCAGGAATGTTTCCTGGTTTCAGGTCAATTCACCTTACTGCCGATCGCCAAATAGGTGTTGCAGCGAGGGAAAAAATTAGTGCTTCTTCCTTCATAACAGAGTTCACATCCAAACCAATATTTTACTCTCTCATATGTTCACGTTCAGTCCGTAGGGCCGAGACTTTCATTGTGTTGAAGCAATATCATTTTCAAGTCACCAAAACTGATATGTGTTAATCTTGTGATTATTTTAAAAAGTGAGAATGAAAAAATAATAAATCAAAATGCTGTGAGAATACCAAACGTATTTTATTTTAATTATAACAGTTCCTCGAAATGGTTCAAAGTTTGAAGAAATTGGTGTCAGGGGTTTGTGTATTTGTGTAATCAAGAATTCTCTTTACTTTTGTAGCCACAATTCATTTTACGTGAGCAGCTCGTTTCTATAGAAAACTGGAAAATGTTTTGGGTCAAATCTATTCGCGTATCTCCCAAATAGAACTTGAATTTATTCGTGGTGTGATTTCCTTGTTAAAGTCAC